TAGTTGAATGGTCATATCTGCTGGTTATTATAAGATGCCACTATTCTTTCTTGCTCCTGCCGCTGTTCTGTGCATACAAATCCTGTTTCAAAAAGATTTTCTTCCAGTTATACTAAGCAAATTTACATAAGGTCAGTGCAGGGCAAATATTATTTGGGGTTTTTTACTGCCCGTATTCTTTCACTGATTCTTTACTAATTTTGTTGAAGATGACCAAACCATGATAAATGTAGGTTATCAGAAACCTCTAATTATTCATTCATTCTAATTTACATTACTTTTTTTCCTGTAAAGATAAAGATTTTTCAATGAATTTCTGGATGAGAATTTAACATAATACAAAAACATGCTTGCAGAAATTTGGGATTGGCTTTTTCAGATGCATGGAAACTCCTACTATTAAAGAAACATTTGTACAGAACAGCAATTATAAGATGGTGAAGGCACACTCACATGCACTGTTCATCCTTCCACTGAGGTGGGACTCAGTGTACTGAGTACTGCTACTAGTGCTTGTCATCACTGCTGCTTAGCACCCAAAATTTTCACCCCTTAAATCTGCTGGTACAGTGACATACATTTACTCTGTCCAATTAATATTGTTAATGGTTTGGACTTTCTCACTTGGTCTATCTTAATAAAATTTTTCTGGAGCTGATTGTATGGCTATGCTGGCACAACTAAAAAGGTGATAATATCCATCTAAGAGAAGGCAGTGATGTGACAAGCATTTGGGACAGGGTGGAGGAGTTCAGTTCAGCACAGCTGGTAGAGGCCATGGGACCACAGTCTGAAGGGTGATGTCTCAGTAAAATTAATTTTTCTCATTTGTCTCCTACAGGAATATTCACAGACTGTTTCTTGTTTTGTCTCAGTGTTATAAGGGCCTTTATTTTGCCTCCCAGTGTTGAAACTCCTTTGTTTTCAGTAGAGTTTCTCCAGATTAACAAGTGAGATCAAAATAGTCAGGCAGCAAATCAATAGGTTTGCTAAGCTTAATAGAAAAGGTCCTTTATCTAGACACTCTAACTCCTTTTCCAATAAAAGCCTATTAAAATGATACTAACATTAGCAGTATGGGAAATTGCTTGTGCATACAGGTTGATGAAATGAAGCATATGGTGTTTCTTGACTTGCCATTTTCAGTTCTGCTGGGAATAGTCATTTACCAACCATTAAAACTCAATACCATGCCTATAAAATGATTGGCATTTATAAAGGTAAATATTGCACAGTGACTGTTCAAATGCTTCTTCTGTTACAAGAGCTATTGCAACTGCTACGGACAGTGATGTTGCCAGCACTGACACTGAAGAGTACTGAATAAAGTCAAACTGAGTCATAGATTCAAAGGAAATGCTTAAAACATGGGGCCCTGGAAAAAAAAAAAAGAAACATTTTAAGGAAATTTGAAAAGAAATTAAGAAAAAACCCCAAACTTTAAATATTCTGAAAGGTTTGCTGGAATGATTGTTTTAAAGGAATTTTTTAGTTCTTATTTTCTTAGCCAAGAAATATGAAAGGTGCCAATTATGGTTTTGCCAGGGCAACTCTTCTGGATCACAGAGGATGTACGGTTCTCACATTGTCAGTCTCAGCTGCTTAGCCTTGGAGAGTACCATTCTTTCTCCAGGCGATATTAATTAGGAAAATTTGGTGGGCTGTACATTCACACAAATTGTTTTAATACTATTCTGAGAAAATTCAGTATAAGCTCTGCTGAATTAGATAATATGTATTATTATCAATATTTAAGGTGACTTTTCTCCATTCAAACCTAATTTTATATTAGTAACTAAAAAACAATTAACATTTTTCCCCAGGGGAAACTGATGTAGCAAAGTTTTATATTCTTTAGGTTTACTTCTCTTCTGTGTTTTCTTACTCCCTCTTTCTCTTTTTGTAGAAGAATTAACCCTTCAGCAATTTAAAGACTCCCCATTTGTAAGTCAAATAATAGATAAAGTATCATATGACATACAAGACCTGTCAACAACTTGAGTATTTCCAACAATTTATGCCTAATCTGTGGTCTCAGATGAATCAGAAAAATCATTAACTAAATTATTAATAATAATTGAATTTCTTAAAATTAGAATGAAATATATGTCATAATCTGTCTGTTTGCAGATAGGTTAAGAAGAGAAAAGTGAATTAAATTTAGCAAATAAATTATCCCTAGCAAATTGTTCTTATTATAGTTGCTACTCCTTCTCTGTTCTTTTCTGGTCTCTTGACTACAATAAAGCTTATTACACCACATAGATTTTCAAATGTACACATAAAGAGAAAATGTAATCTTGTCTGTGAAGTGAGTTTGCCCCAGTTGTCACAGTTTCTAGTCTACCTAATAGTTTCTTAACTTGCAGTTTATTAGATGTCTGAATCATTTACAAATTTGACCATGGATTTCTGAGATTTTACATGCTCTAAAATGAGTTTGTTTAAATGGCACATTGACAAATGACGAAGTAATGTGTCCAACACAAACCAAATATCAAAGTTTTCAGAAATATTTATTCAGTCAAAATATACTTATTTTCAAAGGAAAAACAATTTGGAAAATCTTTTGTGTACTAACTATATATACAAACTTGCTGTTACCTGTGGCTGCATTATCCAGGTTATACATAACCCATAGTACGTGCTGCCCTCGATTTCTTAAGTTACTGAGTTACTAAGTACTAAAAGCTTATTAGCCATCAAGTTTAATGTAAATCAAACCCAAATATCCTTCTTCTGGAGAAAGCACAAGTCTAGAAGTCAGCAGAATGTTGTCTATATTTTTTTCCTTTATTCTTAACTCTCCTTTCCAAGAGTGGATCACTGACAACAGATTTTTTTTGAGGCACTGATGATAGCGTCAGTAGTCATCCTCTGTAAAGCTCTTTTCTCTTAAAAAGAAGTTATTCTAACAAGGATCTAACAAAAGCTCCCTCATATATTTCCAATAAAATAAATCACTGTGCTTGTTTTTTCGAGTTAATTTTCTTCACAGTAGCTAGTATGAGGCTCTGTTTCGGATTTGCGCTGAACACAGGGTTGATAATACAGAGATATTCTTGTTACTGCTGAGCAGTGCTCACACAGAGCCAAGGCCTTTTCTGCTTTTCATACTGCCACACTGGTGAGGAGGCTGGGGGTGCATGGGAAACTGGAAGGAGACACAGCCGGGACAGCTGCCCCCACCTAACCAAAGGGATATTCCAGACCATATGACATCATGCTCAGTACATAAAGTGGGGGAAGGAAGGAGGAAGGGGGATGTTCAGAGTGATGCTCTTTGTCTTCCCAAGTAACCGTTACATGTGATGAGGCTCTGCTCTCATCTCTGGAGATGGCTGAACACCTGACTGCCCATGAGAAGCAGTGAATTAATTCCTTGTTTTGCTTTGCTTGTGTGTGCAGCTTTTCCTTTCCCTACTAAACTGTCTTTATCTCAGCTCACAAGTTTTCTGGCTTTTACCCTTCTGATTCTCTTCCTGATCCCACTGGTGGGGGAGTGAGCGAGCTGCATGGGGCTTGGTTACTGACTGGGCTTAAACCACAACAACCATGCATTAATATAAGCATAAGCATTTGCAAGAACAAGCAGCAATTTTAGAGATAAATTTTCACATTTTGGGAACTTAAAATATTTTATTACTAACAGAGACAAGGGTCTATATGTTTCTTACTTGAGTCTATCCATGTTTTTCATTCATCTTCTAATCCTGTGTATTTTTAATACATTTAATTTTGCAAGTGTAATAAATAATTTTATTTTATTCAAACATGATGCTATAACTTTACCAGTCCTATTAAAGCAGTGATCAAACTAATATCACAGTTAAGGTAAATTAAGAGTTCAGATTAATCATATTCAATCATTAGATTAGTCCAGTAGGTAATAAAATAAAATGGTAGTGTCAACACCAAACATTAATTTTTTGATATAACTAAGGAAAACATGAAAAGGAACCTCTTTATCTGCAGTCCTCCATCTAAAATTTCATCCCTTCCAATGTATTTGCTCTGCTGCTGGAGGACATTATCCTGAGAACCTCCATTGTAATTTTATGCTTTTGCCAGTCTAAATTCACTAAGCAGCTGATAACCTTGACTCCTTGTAAGGAAGTATAGCAATTCAAGTACTTCTGTAGTACTTTTTCCTTAAAATCATTGTCTCACTTTCCAATTTCAAATGATAACTTTGGGGTGACAGTGCAGATGTGATGATGATTAGATGATGCACTCTAGCAGTTTTTGACTAACATGACCTTTCAGTATAGAAGCCACGGAGTAATTCAAAGATGGTTTGGTGATTATTTTGAGGAGACTGTTAAAGATGTAGTTCACAAACACACATACTTTCATATTCACATGTACATACATTAATGAAAAACAAGAAAAAAATATTAAGAACAAATTTAAAAATTTTCTGTTTCTGGGTCATATAATGACCATAGGTGGTCATATAATATCTGCAATCTTGAGCTCAATATTTTAGCTTATGCTGGGTCTTATTAAGGTGCACTCTGGTCAGGCTGGTCTTTGTGACACAAAGCTTTCATCAGTTCTGCAGCTGGAAAACCTGTCCAGGAAAGAAACATAATTGTGACTGGTGGAGCAAGAGAACTGTTTCTCTCTGTTTCATCTCTGCATAAACCTTTGAATAAGGGTTGCTGCCCTCTTGCTCTGGCAGAGCAACTTCAGTGTGAATTAGACTGAGAAGACTTCTCAGCAGTCAAATGTTTTTCATCATTTTTTCATAGATCTCTGTGGGAAAAGAAGCAGTTTAGCTGTAAATTGTGGAACCACAAAGCAGGTAAATACTTCTTAAGGCAGGCATTTAGCATCTTCAAACTTGTTCTGGTGCTGTTCATCTGGTTCTGTTAGTATTTACTGAATTAACAAAAAAAAAATCCTGATTTTCTTCTCGCTTCTGTATTTCAAAATACACTGATAATTTGGTTCCATGGTTGTGTTTCCATATGACTTTTTGATTCTGAATTTTTCAGGTGGATGTTTTTCAAGTGGAAGCAGTAGATGTTGGGATGCTGCAAAGGATGGTGGTTGAAAAAGGGAAAGGTTCTGACTGGCTTCTGGAGAAGATTGTTGTGAAAGAATCAGCATCTTCAGGGACCGAAACATTGTTTATGGCTCATACATGGCTTAAAGACAGACATGATGGAAAAAGATCTGCCTCAGTAGCTCTGAATGCCACAGGTCAATACTATCTTCAAACTATCATTTGCTAAGAAGTTTGTTCCAAACTGTAATTTGCTTCTACAAACAAGTTATTGTTTAAATTATTCCAGTAGAACATTGTCATTATATAGGGAATTAGTGCGTCTGAACATGGTTGTATTTTAGTACCATTTAGTAACCATTATTTGCCAGAGGATAATTTCTGCTTTGTTATTCCAGATTTATAGTGGCATAAATGGCAACATATTTGGCCTATGTCTTTACATATTGCTGCCTCTCCAAGTCTTACTTCTACATTTGCAAAGTATTTTTTTAAGCTTCAAGTACCTCTGCCGACTACTTGCTAGGCAGAGTGAAAATGAGATAAAAAGTGGGGCAAAATATTTTTAAGCAGTGAAGAAAATATCTCTATGGTATTGAAGATGACTGTTTTACCATATTTCTGCTACACAGTTTGGACAGCTTTTGCCAGAAACAGGACATATTTTTGACTGACACCATGTGAGTAATCAGACCACAGAGGCGCAGTTTTCACCCCACTGCCTGTGACTGCACTCTTTGTCAAAACAAGAAGGGAATGTACACCCTTCCTCTCTGTGTCATGATTTCAATATAAGCATATATTTGAATACAATCTGGTGTGCAAGATAGAACCAAACCACAACATGGTCCAACCACATCAGCAGGCAATCAAAGCTCAATATGCACCTCTAAGACTGATGTAGTTCAAATGGTACTACCTCTAGGAGAAGTTAATTAACAGTATAGATGAGTCCTTAGATTAGAGAAAATATTCTAGTTCTTTTCCACCTAACTCCCAAGGCATCTCTGCTCACCGTAGCAGCATTTGGCGTTACTGTTCTTTTCCAGCACTAGTCTCTTGACAATGAATATGATTTCAATTCAATCCATTTTCTCTGCTTTATCGTCTCTAAATTTTGATCATTTGAAACCAGAAAGAAAAGGAGGAAGCTGCTATTGTGCAAAAGCAAATAATTTCAGCTTTGTTTTAGATTGTATGTTTTGACTTTTCTTTAAAAAAAAGAAAAACGAATATTTAATTTTTGTTTCTACCAGACTGCACTGATTTGAACAAAATATTCCTGTGAGTTTCTTTATACTATAATTGGCAAACCCAGTCTAGGTTATGAACTCAAAAGAAGGCTTCTCATCTTTGGTTCAGGCCTCTACCTAATGTTTATAAACAGTTTTTGTCTATACAAAATCCCACTGAAATCAATGGAGACTAATATCACTGGGAGGAACATCAGCCCCTAGAATGGACTTTAAACACATCTAATCAGTGCTACTTCTTCCAGAGCATGAATTGTACAAATGAAACAGAAATGCTTTAAAATGAAAAATACGTGAATCTCCATGTTACAGCCATTTCATAGTAAAGAGCTAGCCCTAGAGTCAGTTCATTAAATAGGATGATATGTAGGAGATGATGCTTAAGTAGAAAATCACATTGTACACTTCCTATTTAAATCTTTAATCTAAATGATATAATACTCAGTCAATTGTCTCACTAGAGATCAATACAGACATTTATTATCATATAGACACTGTTCTACAGAAAGTATTAATTTGATCTTTTTTTTTAATTAGAAATTCAGGAAAGGAGGAGCACTTCTGCCTGGCCTTTAGGAAAAGAACAAATGAATTCAGGTATAGCTTCTGTAATTACGTTGACTGTTTTATTGATCATTTTTGAAGTAATAATGGGAGAATATTTTCATCACCATATGTCATTACACTTATGAGTACTGACAGTAGTTTCCCCTTTGTAGTAGTAAGAAATGGCAATATACTTATACTTGATCAGCACCCAGGTGACATGCTAATAAAGTAATGCTCCCCATGTAGTCTAAACATCTTAGAAATTTTATATCAGATAGCTTGGTTAATATATGAAAACAGAAACATCATTTATATTTTTTCCTTTTTATTTTCTTTATTTTATTTGTTTAGAAGGCAGATGGAGGGTTTATTTAACAAAACATCAAGAAGAAACAAAACCAGAATTTGAAAAGTTGTCAGAAAATATATCCAAAATGGTTATGGTTTTTTACGGAAGCAAAGGCAAGTCAAATCCAGTTTCCATGGAAAACAGAGTGGATCATCAGACTAAGAACCAAATAACATATGATGTAAGATATGCCTATATTTAAATTTTCTTTGAGTTTCCTTTTAAAGTGAGATAATCATGTATTATTGTTTAAATATTCAAGAAAAACAGAACTGAAATTTTCAGTTGCACACCAGCTTTCATTTTTTAATTTTTTTACTTTCTTGAGTTCACAATGATCAAGCATATTCTTTTTTTTTTCCCCAAAAAAATAGTTAATAATGTATATCAATTTAAATAGCATTAACGTTACATATTCACATTTAGAAATAAGTGTGGTATGTAATTTGAATTTGATGGAATAATTACAATGAATGTCCCTAGAAGATAAGGCTAAAATATCAATGGGACTTTTAGCACCAAGGCTGATGTAAAAGGGGTCCAGGATTGTTCTGATCCCTTTAAAGCAAACTTCCTCTCTTGCTATAAATTACCTTTGCATTTATCTCTGTTTGGGTGCTAACTCATGGTTTTGTTGCTTCCTAGATACATTTACCATCTGATTTGGGAACGCTTTATAAAGTGAGACTTGGTCTCCAGAGTTTGGAAAACAGCATATCCCAGTTGTCTCTTCATCACTTTAAAATACAGAACACATCGACCCTGGATACCTTTAGTCTCACCATAAATAAAACACTTCCTCTTTCCCTTAATGGAGACAGATGGATTGAATTCCCCATACAGTGGCCATTAAAAGAAGCACTTTCTGGTAGGTATAAATCTACTTCAAAGCAGTAGACTGGTCCAGGAGGTTAACACATCCTAGTATTACAATAGAAACCTTTACCAAAACAGAAATTTTTATTGTTTTTATTTAATGATTCATAAAGGCTGGATAAGAATTTAAAATGTATGAAGGAAAGTATTAATTTCTGTACCACTCAGATTAATTTCTGTACCATAAAATGGTAAGTGCAATATTCATTTGATTGCACAGAACCATTATTATATGCTACACAGAACAGTTCATAAGAAATATCCCTTTCTTGCAATACTGTAATATTTCTATTCTCCTTTAGTCCTCAGCAGCTCATATTACTGACATTAACAATATGATTTTTATAGCTCATTTACTATTAAGAGATTTTGTTGTTTGTTTGCACATTCCAAACAAAGACTCTCAGTAAATAACGGCTCACAACTACATATAAGCTTCAGTTTTATTATCTTTATACACTCCAAATATTTATGCTTGTTAAAATAGTTCAACAATTCTTTCATACATCACCTTGGTTAAGTAAAATAAAAGAAATCTTTTCACCTAAAATCCACCATATCTCCTCATTACTGAATGCTACCATATAATGAAACAATTATCAATTAAATTATCAGACCAATTAATGATACTTAATATTCAAATAATTTGTGTCTGTGTTTTATGCAGAAACCAAATAATTCAGTTCAACTAAAGTGAATTGAAGTAGATGTTATATTAACCACACCAATACACTTTGTATTGGAACTTATGGCCCAGTTTCAGTGAGGTGTTTGAATACATCTAAATGTATGTATGCAAATAATCTCAGTAGAATTAATAGAGGTTGAGGCTTTGGTTTTTTTTCATGTTTTGGCTGCAATTGATAATGTAAATTTTGTATTTAGGCTTTAGATTTTATATTGCTTAAAGGTGTTATTTTCACTTGAAGACACACAGCGTATGGGTACAAAACAGGGCTTAATGGCTTTCATCTCCTACGCTCAAGACTGAAAAAAAAGGACCTTCAGGTTAAAGGCCATGACTGTGCCCCTTGCAAAAGCCTGAACACTGTCACATGCAGAAGTATGTAGGATACAGGTACATGCACACAGAAATGATGGGAGAAAGATCCAGCATGGGTGATAAAGGGGCAGTGAGACTGGAATCCCTATGACCTTTTTCTGACTCTGGCTCTGTCACTTTCAACCTCTTGGTTGAAAAAATAATTTCCCCATTCTTTGCCTTTTTTTTTTCTTTTTTTTTTTTTCTTCTTCTTTTTTTGTAATATTTTTATTCTTTGTAAATGCTCTGAGGCTGAGAGATAAAAAAATCACAAACAAGGAATAGGTGTTATATTACCCATGTGTTTAGGTAAAATAACAAACAAATGAAATAGCTCATCTCCGTGGCTTTTATTTGTTTCCACACATGCTTTAGAAGTCTTAAAGGAGGCTTTGTAACCACAGTGAAGAAAAAACTAGAACTGTAATTCCCCCAAATCTTTGCTGTTTATGTCCAAGATAGCTTTAAGCAGTGTCACAGCAAGTGGTACATGTGGAGTTCAAAGCGATCTTTACACACACACTTACTTGCAATTTATTGTGCAAAAGAGATACGTTTTTCTGTCAGCTTTCTAAATCTAATTTATTTTCTCCTCAGTTTTCTTTTTCTCAGCTAAAAACAAAACCAATATTGTGTTAATTGGAATGGAAAGCAGTTGATCATAATCATCATAACCAGAAGCCATGTGCTGTTAAAGTTCAGATAAAGCTCTGTCATTCATAGAGTGACTTAATATTTCATCTCTTAGTTATATTTTCTTTTTGCTTCTTCCTTTTTTTTTCGTATTTGGGATTGTGATGAAGCATAGGCTAATGGCTAATTGAAACCATCAAAACACAGTTGATAAAATACAGTACAGACCCTCAAGATCTGGCTGTGAACACATGTGCCTTTGGGTGTATTAATGGGCAGAGGCCTCCAGCTGAATATATACATAAATAGTTTCTCTTCACTGTACCTCCCTTTGAGATGCTAACACCTCAGGAATCCCCAGGGATGACATGCTGCTCTCTTTCTCCTCTCACATACAGGGCTGTACAGAAGGTGAATTTTGCAAATCTGTAGTTTTTAAGGCAAAACAATTAAATATTGAAAAGGTGAAATAAAAATGCGTTATGCTACTTTCAAATAGATTATTTCCACAAAGTTAAAAAAGAACTGTAATTCACACTGAGATTATGAAATAATTTGAATTTTAAAAAATTAACGGAGTTGTAGCATTCATATATGTTACCCTTATTGTATGTAACTTCTTTTCAGAGATTTCTTTCATCTTTCCTCTCTCCAATCTATTCAGTACACTACAGAGACAAAAGCTTGGTTGCCTATGTTTATGCTATGATAATCTGATCGCACTACCTGAAGGAAGACCACTGTTGAAGCATTTTAGCTCTCTGCCCTTGCCTACATTAGTCTTCCTCAATTGCCCAATTGTACAATGAGTTCTGCCAGTTCTATCCACTGTATGATCTGATACAAAGTTCATGCAATGCAACTTCTACTTGACTACAGTGTATCAGGGCCATGATAAGTCAACAGATCTTACTTGCCTTGGCCAAAGTCACCTGGAACCTCCAGCCATAACGGGCATAGGATGTCCACTTCAGATCATGTTTGAGCTACTTCAGATGTGCATCTTACTCTATTCCTCTCTATGTCCCAGTCTTCTGCACAGTCCTTGGACGTATGTTGTAGCCTTATTTTCAGCCCTTCTCTGGCCCTTTCACCTGCTGCTCCCAGCTTCATCACCAGGACGGATTCCAGGTCATTTTCATTGTTTGCTGCATATGGGACTGTTGACAGCTCTGCTTGCCACATGAAGATGTTGCAGAACTGTTACCTAGTCAAGATCTCTTTTTGCTTGATATTGCAGTGGTTACATATCATCTAACAGTATTTTCTGGAAATATTTTGAGTGAGAGAAATTTAGTGCACGTGACTGCATGTATATATGGTAGTCGTGGCGACACAGGGGACAGATCTCTTCTCCAGCCATTGCAGAATGTCCAGCATGGAGAGGAAAATGAGGTACACTGCCTTAAAGTACTTTAAAACTTACCCTTTAATCCACTCTTGTACTTCCTATATATTATTTTCAAATTTTCCTATACAGTTAAGTAATATAGTTTGAGATTGCAATACTGAATACTTTTATTTTAGTCATTTTTAGTTACTGTGGATGCTGTGGATTTGGGAGAACTGGACAAAATTGTTCTTTTGATCAGCAGCAAAACAGGTAAAGTACTTTTTATTTTCTAAAGTCAGTGATGTGAATCACACAGCTAGCATCCTGTTAAAGTCAATGAAATCACTGCCAGAGTTAAATACTAATTAATTTCCTTTGGCTACTTCTAGAAAAGGTAATATTTTATAAAGTAAAATCCTACCTTTTGATATATTAAAATCCTTGGATCTAAAATCTATATCATTATTGCATCCAGAAAGTAAACTATTCCATTGCATAAAAGAAAGAAGAACATAAAATTAGGATGAATAATTATATTCTGCAATTAATACATCATCTATTAATAAGTGATCTAGGAGAATAATTATAACTCAAGTAAGAAATTGGTATTGTTTAATATTCCTTCCCTGATTCAATTATTTTCACTATTTTTTCCAGCTGTTCTCTTTTCTCTCTGTAGCATTTGTAAGGGAATTTTACCTCTATTTGTTGGTCAGCAAGTTCTGCCACTGAACTTCCTTAAAGTCGTCATGACTTTAACATCTCTTTGCCTCATCTATAGAATGGTTATCATGCTATGAGGGAATATTTAAAAAAATAATTAAATTTTTTTTTTAAGTCTGTTAATGAAATTTGCTATATAATTGCAAATCATTACTTACTATGTATTACAGTTGATCATTTTCAGACAGTTTTCTAGGAAAACAGGGGTTCTATGTCTGCACTTTATCTGTCTTTTTTTTTTTTTGTTTGCCTATCTGTAGACTCTTCATTAAAGCCTTTTAGACTCATCACCCAATTTCAACCAAATACGTAAGATTTGGGCAGTAAGCGTGTGCATACTCATTGGCTGGTCAACACTGCTGTACCACAGCACAGGCTGCCTTGTTTGTTAGGGGCTTCCAAGGGGCTACAGTGTGGAGCTGCAGTTACTACAGAGGGGAAGGGAAGGAGAGGGAGAGTCCTGCTATGGTGTTGTGGGGAGCAAGGCATAAAGCTCTCTGCTTTTGTTCCCCATAGCTTCAGTTAACTATGGCCATCTGTCTGACTGACAGTCATTGAATATGCCAATTGTGTGTTGCCAAAGGGCATCACAGAGAGCATGACAGGCAAGACTTTTCCATTCAGGTTTGAAAACACAGTTCACAAAGGAGGGACATTGGGCTTATTGCCTCTGTGTCTTATGAAGAGAGGATTGGTTAGATGTATAATAGATTTCTTCCAGAGGAGTTATTTAGATGATAAAACATTTCAGATGAGTAAGGGTGTCTCTATTGTAATTAGACTTGTTTGTACTGAGACTAGTTTGGACCAAGATTTGAATCAAAAATCCTGAAAACCAAAAAAGCTCTTTAGTGTTTAAGGTCACAGAATCATGGAATCACAGAATATGCTGAGTTGGAAGGGACCCACAGGATTATAGAGTCCATCTTTTATCCCTGCACGGTCCAACTCTCATCCCCAAGAGTCACACCATGTGCCTGAGACTATCATCCAAATGCTTCTTAACTCTGTCAGCCTTGGTGCTGTGACCACTTCCCTGGGGAGTCTGTTCCAGTGCCCAACCACTCACTAGATGAAGAACTTTTTTCTAATATCCAACCTAAACCCCCCCAACACAACTTCAGGCCATTCCCTTACATTCTGTCACTGGTCACAACAGAGAAGAGATCAGTGCCTGCCCCTGCTCTTCCACTCATGAGGAAGTTGTAGACTGCCATGAGGTGTCTCCTCAGTCTCCTCTTCTCCAGTCTGAACAGACCAAGTGACCTCAGCTGCTCCTCATACAGCTTCCCCTCAAGGCCCTTCACCATCTTCATTGCCCTCCTTTGGACACTCTCTGACAGCTTAATATCTTTCTTATATTGTGGTGCCCAAAACTGCACACAGTATTCAAGGTGAGGCTGCCCCAGTGCAGAACGGAGCACAACAATCACCTCCCTCGACCAGCTGGCGATGCTTTGCCTGATGCACTCAAGGACACGATTGACCCTCCTGGCTGCCAGGGCACTGCTGACTCATATTCAACTTGCCGTCGACCCGGACCGCCAGGTCCCTTTCCACAGTGCTACTTTCCACCATCTCATTCCCCAGTCTGTATGAACATCCAGGGTTGCTCCATCCGAGGTGCAGAATCTGGGACTTTCCCTTGTTGAACTTCATAGGGTTGGTGATTGCCTAGTCCTCTAATTTTTCGAGGTCTCTCTGTGGGGCCTCCCTGTCTTCAAGCAAGTCAGGTGTATCCTGCAGGACTGGTCAGCCCAGGCAGAGTATTGCTCTAATATATTTATACTTTCATTCAGTATCTGAGCAGGTTTTTAAGATCAGGTTGTTCAAGATCCCTTCCTGAAGCTTCTGACTCACTCCCTGCACTATCTTGGCAGGTTGTAAGTGTAACACAATGTCCTGGATTCCTGCACAGGAGTCTTATTATATCCTATTGACTACTTGAAACAGTAGTAGAAGACATTGGAATGCAGTTTGTTGGGCTGAAGCGACAAATAATAGAAGAGAAGGGAAAATGAGTAGTCTTCATGACTAACTAGTGGCAAGAGATTCAGGCCATGTAGCTGAAGTGAAACCCCCAGCAGAAAATTCAAAAGGTAGTGTAAGTCAGAGTGCAATCTTTCTCAAACAGCAGAGGGATACAGTGAGTTGCTGAACTTTCTTCATACCTGCCACCTAAATTCTTTGTGCTGCGTGTGGAATAGAGCTCCAGCCCTTTTGTCAACCATTTGCTGAGGATGAAACACCAGATGTGTATTTCTGTTCTTCTTTCTCAGATGTGCCTGCCTCAGTCATGCTGAATCTCTTCTGCTTGCCTGTCCAAGGATGGTGAAGACAACACTCCTTTGCTTGACTAATTAAGACAAAGGAAATGCTTACTCCTAAATTTCTAAGTTGAGGTTTACAAATAGGAACAAAATAAAGAATCTTGTAGTGATTCCAACATTTTTAACTCAATTGTTGGCATTCATAAATTAATTAATAAATGATGTTTAAATATATTAGGAATGACACCATTATACCAACAATAGAGTCTACCTAATTTCTTGACATGCAATGCAACATTTTTACCTAACTTTATTTCCTTCTTTGTAGACTGCAAACTGAACATTAAAAAATTGGAAGTGAAAGAAGCTACAAAGGAGCATCCTATCTATGTATTTGAAATGAATGGGTAAGTATATTATGTAAAGCTAGCAATGTTTTCTTAAAATGTAATAGCTGAAAACACTGAGCAGACACTGAATCAAAGTAAGGATCAGAGCAGTTCTGTAAATAGATATTTGAAAAATAAATCCATCTTTAACTGTTCCACATAAGTTCATAGGATTTTTTTGATTTAACATATGATTTACTTACCACAAAATCATATGTGGTTTTGTTTTTCAGAGAATTTTCTGTGGGTGCAAATAAGCCTGAAATACAGAGAGATATCCCAAGATCTTTTGTTATTAGAGGAGATAAACAAAAAAATGACATTGATAACAACTTAAATAAAGAAGAAAGTCAAGCAAGAAATGTGACAGAGTATACTATTAAAGTGTACACAGGTGACAAAAGGGGAGCAGGGACTGATGCCAATGTGCATATTATTTTATTTGGGAATGAGGACAAATCTGAGGTATTTCAACTCTCTCAGTCACTAGAGCATCAAAACCCCTTTGAAAGAGGAAAGGTGAGTACACAGATTTTACAAGTTGTGTCCGTTTCTGTACTGGAAAAGCAAATTTTAAATCTCTGCAAGTTTTTTAGAGAACTTTAGGTATTTATTCTATTTTCCACGTCATTAGATGAGATTTTTTCTCAGCTATCTCTGTTTCACCTTTTCACCAGAGTAACCAAGGGACATTTTACTTCTGCTGTCTCTGTTGCTCTTCTGTCTCTTAGTCCCAAATACATCTTCATATTACATCCACTTATCTGCCCAGTTATTAATTTCCTTGTTCTGAAATGCACAACATGCATTGCCTGTGCATGTGCATATATGTGCAATATCCCATGCTGTTGCACAAACTTTGAATATTGTGCATGAGGATACATCAGTTTCTTACATCCCATCATTTTACTTTGCCATAGAAACTGATGCTGTGAGCCTCACTGAATGTAAAAGCCTATAACCAGATAAAGTGGAACCATACACATCAACCTGTTTCTGATATCCATCTTGCTTTAGGCTGTTATTGAGAGACCCAATAATTCAGATACAGATATTTGCATAATAATGCAGACTCTCTGCATTATGTCCTAGTACCTTAGCTGACTGTTCTCCTATTTTAATAAGCATATTACTCCGACAAAGCAATTGCTCCATTTAGTCACCACCTGTGCAACAGAGTACAATGATGGTTACCCTTAAGTAACAAGAAATATATATATATTTTCCATATCTTTCTCCTGTGGATTTATTGAAAGGTAATGACTGAATAATTAGAACTCAAGTGAAAATATCTTCCTTAAGAGATGTACCTCATTTTCTTCAGTATTACTAAACATCTTTTTACCTGCAGTTGGTCCAAGTTTCTTCAGCCAGGATATCTGTGACTATCTTCTAAAAGATCTTTACCCATGAATTGTCTTCCATACTGAGGAGGTTAATAAATCTGGTTAACTACAGGCACAAGGAGCAACTAAAAAAAGTGTCTTGAGCAGTATTTCCTTTTGCCTACTACTGCACAGGAGGTGTCACTACTTTTTGAAAAAGAAGAGTAGATACATAGAAATCCTGTTAGCAATCCAGCTAAGCCAATGGGTAGCCAGTGGTGTCAAATGCCTTATGAAAAAAGAATCTCATTTTAAAAAAATCTGCAATATGAAACAAGGTAATATTTTAAAGTAGATACTATTAGAGAGACATAATGGTACGTGTAGCAAAAGCCTTTCTCTCTAATATTCTTGAATGTTTATTTATATATTATATACTAAATAACATTTTAGAAGACCATATCAGTTGAGTATTCATGAGACCAAAAAATGTTTTTCTGGTAGACAAAAGTCAGGAAAGAGGTGGAGATTGTCCTACTATAAATTGAAAAGTGAATTTTTTCTGTTTAAACTGAGACCTAGTAGGACAGGATCTATACCACCATCTTCAGTATGGAAAATAAATCATCTGTGACTCATCTATTTTGAATTGGTATTATTATATTTGAATTAATCTCAGAACTGACCTAAATAAATTTGTAAGTTTCCAAACATTGGTATAGGTATAATATTTTTAATAACTGTATTTTAATATTAAAGGTCGATACATTCAAGATTAAGACAAAAAGATTAGGCAGCCTGTATTCAATTGAAATTGGTCACGATGGGAAAGGATTCGGTGAGTATACTGCCTGTGTTCAGTAGCCTTGTAAAAATCTTCTGCCTAAAGATCTGCCTGACATTTGGAAAGGTGTTTGAAGTCATACTATGCTACAGCTAGCTAATACAAATCTGTGTACAAATGAGGTCAGATTCACTGCGCCTGCTTTCACCCCCTCTGTCTATCACATTTCCCTTGACTTTAATTTGAATTTTTTTTTCTAATAGAGATCAAGTTAACATAAACCTCAGATGGTTTTATCCTTCAAACATTGCTCAGCCAAAACCCTTATTAGATGTCTTACATAAGATAGGATTGAATTTTCAAACTGCAGGCTAAACTTTCCATGATTTGAGCAAGTTTTGCACTCTGGTCAAAGCATGCTGTAGCTCCCTCTCACACACATAGGGCTTTTCTTCTTGTGGAAGTGTGAGGAGAACATTAGTGTGCACCAGGTCTTGCCCTGATGTTAGGTGAGGATGTGGCTATAGTACGTAACCACACATGACGACGTAAAATGTTTCTATGTACAGTGTGTTACAGGTAACCTCTAAAACCTGAATTTTACATAAAAATTAAGTGGGTGACTACAGCATATAATCTTTTGAGCTTAAATTTAATTGTGCTAAAAAACCCTAGGAATATACAGATATCAGATATATACAAATATATAGAGACATACAAATACATAAACTAAATTTGCAGGCAATGTATAACTTGAGTCAAAAAGGTCTGATTGTATTGAGATACTCTAGTCAGGTGAAATTTGCTTAACCCATCTCAAAGAAATAGAGTTTTAGGTTTAATAAAATCTGATTAATCTAAGCTCATGATGCACTATATAGTGGCAAGGGTTTATCATTTCTAGGATGAACCAAGCAAAATTCTGCAAATAGCAGTTCTTATTTGGAAAAAGTTGAACAGGTTTGGTGTTTTTTTCCAAAGTACCAGTCACATTGTATACGTCATGTTGTTGAAAATTCAAACAGAAAAATTACCAAACCTCTTGAAATACCTGTAATAAATAAGATCCTTTTCCTGACTTTCATCCTGCTGTGCATGTACACAATTCAGTTTAGGACTGATTCCCAGTGTGGAAATGAAACTCTACACCGGCAGACTTCTGGCACTTTGAGAGTTGCACAGAGGTCTGTAGGGGAAATAAAAGGTTGAATTTTCATTTCCTGGATCCCGAACTATCAACAAAATTATTATCTTTTCTCTCTGTGCCCTGATCAACATCACAATACTGCCTTCCTAGCACAGCTGGTGTGTGTCAATTCATCTTACAGACTACCTTCCTCTAAATTTTTCTCTGAAATTATCTCCAAGTGTCTCTTGTCACATCAGCTGTTACCTTCACAAGCTTCCTCAAATGTAACAGCTCTTTGAAATGTTTCATCTGTTTCCTAGATGCCTCTGGATTTCTCCATACCTGGATATTTCAGAGGTGTCTGTTGGAGTTTTGTCAATAAAGGAGGAAGCATTAGATTTTGATCTTTTCAAGAGCACAAACAAACCTTTATATTCTCTTGTAAAATGCTGTGTAAATTTGAGAGACTGTAAATTTTTATTGCTGATAATCCTGACTATGAATTAGAGATTTCATGAAAGGTCATATATTCCAAGTAGAGTTTATGATATATTAAACCATTCACAAGATTTCATTAAAGGAGTTCCAAAAGTACTTCACAATATCAATAAATGAATCTTGTGAATTGAAGATGGAAAACCTAGACACATTCATGGCCTAGTTATACCAACTATTTTTTTGAAAATGCCAAAGAAAAATGAGAAAAGTTGCAATGCATTTACATTTTGTTCAAATTGAAACAATTTACAAATATTTTCACATTACATTTTTAGTCTACTTACAAATAAAATATTTTTACTGGTTTTAGCCTATTTAGAACTTTGTCCAAATATTTGAAAACCAATATAATTTGATAGAATATAGTTCTTTATCTGTAGGACATGCAAAGAATGCTAAAAGGTAGTCAGCTAATAGCAATATAGTCCTAATTAGTTTTAAAATATTGTCATTAATATTTGCCTTGGCAAACACAACTAAAGATATCAGCAAAAACATTGTATACATATATATACATATAAAAGTTTTGGTTTTAAAATCTTAATATTTTAATATTTCATGAAATAAAATTCTATATCACAAGAATGAAGATATTTTTCACACAGCAAAATAGGAGATTATAGTATAATATTTAATACATTCTTAAAGCTGAAACAGATGTGAGTGTTGGCCTAAATGGGGATGCTATTCTGAATCACGGTACTGGAGAGATAGAATTATAAGGAGCATTCAGATTCACCACTTGGTTTATATACATATCAATATATTAATTAGAAGGGAGTAGTAGAATGCCCACCAGGGGTCCATGTGGAGTACATTTCCAAGTACGAAAAAGGACAAATTGGGTTTTCAAGAACGTATTCAATATTACCATGCACTCTGTTTCATTTGTCTTGTTGCCTGTTCTGTTCAATATGGAAAAATAAGTTGTAACAAAAATTTTCCATTACATTTTCTGTCAAAAACATCATAGACCTTCCCTATAAAACTGAGAGAAGCTGGTAGTAATTTGAATTATCTACATTTCAGTTTTATTATTGATGTTGAATACACTTGGAAGTATTGAACCACATGGGGTTTGGAAATGAAATTAGAAACACTTCTTATACTCCAATTGTGTTTTGGTTTTATTAAATTTTCTCCTTTTTTTTTTTTCCTTCTACAGCAAGTGACTGGTTTCTGGAAAAAGTGGAAATCACAGAAGCATCTAGAAATTCAGTGTATTGCTTCTACTGTAACAGGTCAGCAGATCAGTTCATCATCACTCTGTACAAACCGTTTTCTTCTCCATAAGAATTAGTAGTAGTCTTTTTAGTCTCTCAGTTGGTTCTCTTCTGGTTTTCTAAAACAGTAAGAACTTTTTTATACCATGCTGTGTTGCTATCAGTCCATTGCCAAAGACTTTTGAACCATTTGGCCAATTTCAAACTAATTTGTCAGAAGAATTGTTAGAAGAAAACACTATATTTTTCCAAGAAATTAAAACTGAATGACTGCAGAAGGGAGAGAGACAATTTAGTGCCTTTGCCAAGAGAAGGTATTTGTATGTATTTTCAAAGGTAGAAGGTGTCTGGCAAACCATTATACAAGTATTAATGCATATGTGGCTCTGACAAACATATCATGGATAAGCAAACAGGCATGGGAGGGAAACAGAAAGGAGGATGTTAGGATATGGCAGTATAGATAAAAAACTGGAGAAAAAGGAGTGTATCTTATTGATAAAAAAGGCAACATTAAAACATTAGAATCATTCTGTTTCTATGTTTGCTTACTATGGGTCCAAAATATATTCAGCAAATAAGATAAAACCAAAAGAAAGCTTTATATGATGTGATGTAGGAGGATGATGATCTAAATTTCTAAATTTATTTGGATTCTGGAGTACTGGTGTAAAGGACTTCTAGTGTGCAAAAAGTAGATGCACTTTAGTCTGCATCAAACTGAAACAGTACAGTTTCAAAAGTTGGAAATTAAATTGAAGGGTATATTTGGAGTGACTGCTCACTACAGTGTACAGTTCACAGCTTGAAGAATTTCAGAATAAGCATCTGAAGCAAACATGTTCATGTCTTCCTAAGAGGAAATCAGCTTTTTAATGCACCTGGAGAACACATAAGTGTGAAAATTTACAAGTTCCCTGTATCTAGAGAGAGGAATGTTACCTGGTGGTCTGAAAACAGAAATGGCAGCCAAGAATATTTAATTTATCCTTTCCCTAAATATGTCTCTAAACTTAACAGTTGACGGAAGCCAAATCCCAACCCTGAACCCAAAAAAGTCCCTTTTTTGGTTTTTGGATAGTCAGTTGTATTCTACAGTCTAAGTCACGAGAATGTGAGGCTGTTAATGACCCTAACAACGTTAAACTTCTTTCGACAACATTAAACTTCACTTAACTTTCTCCAAACACATGCTCAGATACTATCTAGTCTTCCAAATACCTAAATTTAAGTTAGTGGACAGGACAAAAATCCTTAAACCAGAATATCACTCCTTTGTGAAACACAATCCATAACGGAATTTCAGTTGATGCCACTCCATCTCTTTTGCTTGTAAGAGTTTTCAGATCACACCAGTCAGAGGAAGATTCTTGAAAAAGATAGCTTGCAACAAACATTTTTTTTTCCAGAGATTTTTTTTTCAATTTTATTTAAAGTATTGTAGTAAAACGACAAAGGTATGTAAGAGACCCATTTGGCATAAGAACTCGAATCACATCATTGATGTGGGGGAGCGACTGGCACAGATTGATTCTACATGCTGCTGACTAGGACATTTAACAGGGGCCTTGGTGGGTTAGAGATGTATGCTTACTTTGGTGTATACCAACTCACCCAAAATGGAAGTATTTTAGCAGAAGAGATTAGGAGGTTAACCCCAGAGTACTCAGTGACCCAGAGGCTCTGGGGCACCCCTAAAATACAGGAAATTGTAAGTTCATGTTCCTCTTCCAGCTGAGACATGGAGCTCCTCATCAAGCTTACCATGTAAATGGGGAATGGTTCATTCTCTCATCAAAAGACTCGTCTGGTACAAACGATGTCTCTAAAAGATATTCATCACTGAAAAACCCAAATCCTTTGTTAACCCATCTAAATGCCTGTTGTCTACCTTACACATCACACCTTTCCTAGGCTCTGTGACATCTATATGCAATTTTAGCTGCCAAGATTAGTTGTGTTTCAACCTGGAAGTGTTTAGCTTCCGCCATATCTCCCAGATGTTGAAAGGTGCAATAGATGCTATACTAATGTCTAGGAATCCCTCCCATACTACCTCCTTACCACATGAGGTAGACTGTTATAAACCTTCCAAAAGCGTTAGAAGCTTTTTAACTCTCTTTGGATACTAATTCCACTGTATCCATGGTTCCTGTTAACACCAGTCTACCTGAGTTTTGGACTCAGGCTTATTTCCCATATAATCAACAGTAAAACCTCCATAGGCTCTTACAGAGCAAGGATTGAGCCCACTATGCAACTCAGTATTTTGTGAACCAACAAAGAGACACGAGAAATAAACAGTCACGGGAATGGAATACCAGAACAATAATCTGCTATCACAGAACAGGTTTCCTTACTCTGAATTATCCTGATTTTATGTCACTCTTTGTGGTGAACTACAGGTTACCCATATGACCAAGAAATAAAATGAATGTATATTTCATAAATATACCCATAAAGTTAATTACACTTTTAAATTACATATATTGGGATACTAAAACAAAAATTAAAAAAAAAAATCACTATTTTTTTTCAGGTTGGTTTCTGCTTCTGTATAAACCAATGTAAAAGCTCTCCTAGAAGATCAAAGGTGCAGAAACAGGCTCTCATGAGTTGTCTGTTTATTAAGTTTTACATGTGTTGTGTTTATGACAGGTTTTATGTTTTTTCCTTAAGGTGGCTTTCTGAAGATGAAAGTGATGGCCTCACCACAGTGCAACTTTATCCATAGCAGCTTGATTTCTGATTCTTTCTGAGTGTGTTGCTTCTCCAAATTCAAGCTGATTTGATTTGATTGTATTTTATAATTCTGAAGGTATTGTAATTTTTGTGCAGAAATGTCAAAACAATGAGTTAAAAACATCACAGTAAATTAAATGTGTCTAATGTGAACACAGAAGTGTGATCCTATTAGAAATGCTCGAAAACTTTGCATGACCGAAATTTCGATATCAGAAATTTAAATATGTAACATGGTTTGTGGACTTGATCTGAGCAATCATAATGGTAGACATATGTAGTAACACACTCAAATATTTTTGTTCCAGCAATAATTTGTGGGTAAGCTAAGTTTAGCTCTTGTATCAAATCTGTCAGTATTTACTAATTTGATGAATCTTTATCAATTTTAACATTTATTAAAATTTAGATTTTCTTAAACCATTTTCCAAACAAGTTGCACAATGTTTCAGCCTTACCATGCATCGCTGCTCTTTTCTATAGGACCATAACAGAGAGTAATAAAGACCTTGTTATTCAGGAGTTCACCCTGTGTTGGTAAGCCTCTCTCTGACATTGACTGTAAAATCTTGTAGCTGAGACAGAAACTCAGCTGTGAATCTTTAGATCCAAAGTGTCTTAAGAGAGGCTGTTATCAGGAACACTGCAATAGCTTACTGGGAGGCTTAGGCATCTCCCTGCTCAGCACAATGACTTTTGCAGTGCCTGTCCTTAGCTGTCTAACTGGCTTTCCAGTGCAATATGTGTGAATGCCTTCCCTTCAAAGAAAAAAAAAAAAAGAAAGAAATCGAACAATTATTTTTGCAAATGCACAATAAATAGTAATATATTTAGCTACAGATGCACAAATTAATGTTTGTTTTGGTAGGCTTTGATATTGTCAGAATTGACTCAGGAAGAGTTTAGGATCTAGGCAAGTCTGAACTGAAATAATGACTTGCACATCACCAGAAGTTTCATGTGTGTGATCAAAATACAAATATTGTATATGAGCTACATAGGTCATCCCTCCGTTAATCAAAGGCTTCACCTTTTGTACATCCAAAACCTAAAATCTTTATGAAGATTTGAAATTTAGACCTGTTTCACCCTCAAGATGCCATCATGTTCTGTATCAGCTATGTGCTTTCTATAATCACAAGAATTAAATGAGTTTCTAATCTGTGTTGATGAAACATTGTCTGGCTGTCTTTTTAATATATTTAATGTTTATTCACTCACATTATTCTGTGAAATGAGGATGCTTGAAATCTCTATGTGTGTGGAGATCTCAGTTGTTACTTTGACACAAAAAAAGAAGTGCATATAATTGGTCTTGGTAGGTAATATCATTTTTATCTACCTTTATCTATCTATGTCATCAAAAGGTATAAGGTGTGGATGTGGTAAGTGTGAGCAATGGAACAGATTCAATTTCTTCTAGAAGTGCTTTTTCTTTCTCCCTCTGCTACCATGCTCTCTGGAATGGACTTGAAATTGTATCCCCAGAGTGCACAGTTCACTTACTTAGTATCAGTATTCATTACACTGAATCACTTCATTGTGATCTATTATGTGATTTGTTTCATTATTATGTCTTTCATTAATAGTTTGTAATACTAGCTCTCTTTGATGTCATTTCTGATTTATCAAGTGTAAATGGTGCCTTCCTAATCTGTTTTTCCTTACTAAGAGTGAGTATCCTTCTTCTGCAGCTGCCTTCCATATTTGAAAATTATTTTCTCTACCTGTAGGGTGCCCAAATCAGGTTTTTGATTCCCTTCCCTTGATCCAGAGCCATGTAAACACCTCTCTAAGCCTTCCCCTAACAGGGCCGCCATAGCAGAGGGCTTCATCTCAAGAGCATCATGGGTGCTTGCAGGCGATTTCACTTTGGTAAGAAAACCTGAAATACCATATAACCTCCTGTTCAAGTCTTCCTTGGAAGACATGCCAGTTAGCATATTTAGCTTGTGACCAGTGCCAAACCCCAAATGTGTTTCTTCCACATGGTATACAGTGATGTCTGCTGTGTTTGGCACAGAAGTCACTTAGTATCTCTCACTTGTCAGTGGGATGATTTTTGGAAAAATTGCAGGCCAAAGACAGGGACATTACAGACTTGCCTCCTCGTGTGCACTCTGCTGTTCCTACACAGCAAGGGTGCTGCCCTGTCTTTTTCCTCCCAGCACCCTGCTCTGCCTATGGAAAACCTGGGCATATATTGACACCACTGATGCCTCTGTGGGGAACGGAGATGTCGCATGGAAAAGAGTCTGCCTGGGTAAACAAGAAACCCATGAATCTGGCACACAAAGAAGTCTTGGAAGGAGCAGAGAGAGAACTCAATCAGTTGGAGAAGGTAAAGTTGTAGTGGAGAGAAGGGTTTGTCTTCAACTGCCTCTCCCTGCTGCAACCTGTCCTTGAAGATCTGTGCAATAGGGCAGTGGCTAGAGGATTCTGCTGCTATTGTTGTTACTATCATTATTGTCATTATTATTAATTTAATTTTGCACTGCAGAGAAAACCTGGAGCTGGGTACTAAAATATATACCCTGAAGATCATAATATAGACTCTTAGACAAAAGAGAGTCTGAAAATGGCCATTAAAGGTCCGGTATTGGTTAACTGTATCTTTTTTCTTCATCCACTTCTCCTGGTGTGCTGTTATATATATTATTAGGTTGACCTAGGTGACACATTTTTGCCCATTTAAGCCCTTGAGCGTCTTAGTTTCTTTTGCTGATGATGTTAAGGACTTGAAAAAAATATAACAATGCTCTGACTGGCTCATTGGACCATTTAATATTCTCCCACCAACTCCAAGTACTGCCTTGCTGAAACTCGTCATACATAAGAAAGAATTCCTTCCTTTTAAGTACATACAACCAGTTATATTGCATCTACCCACCCTGTAGTTTGTCAGTTGTGGAAATGGCATGAGAATAAGAAAAAAGGAAGTACCAAGTTCCCTTTTGAGTTTCTTTAGATGTCTTGGATAGATAACAACTAGTCTTCCATTGTTAGTATTTATAAATGTCTTTGCAAATATAAACCACCTCTGCTGACATATCAGTTTGAAATGTTCTTTTGCACTTCTCCACAAAGAAAGGCAGTAGACTGGAAAAGTCCATAAAATCCTCCGTACTGAACAGTGCAAAGCAGTGTTGTAACTTCTGTGCTAGCTGAATCTTCGTCTTACAATCATTTTGCTCGACTTGAATTCATTTTGAACAGATGAATCAAAAATGGGAAAGATAATGGGGATTTTAATTTTCTTCTTCAAACTTTTGAAAATTCTTAATTACATTTTACAGTGTGAGAGGGCATGTTAATATCCCCTTAGGCATTCCATAAATGCTTTTCCCATTTATCATAAAAAGTAATATGCTTGCTTGTTGGTTGGTTTCTGCATGCACAATGACAGTGAAAGGGTTGTCAGCATTGTACAAAGTTTGCTTCCTCGATGTTTTACTATATGGCTATGTCTTCTTCTATCATTCCATATATATTTAGGTCTATCTTTGATTATATATTTAAATACATACTGTGAAGTGACTTGAAAGGTGACTGGAATCCATTTCTAAACAACAAATGTAAATTTAAGAAATCCTGAGTTCAATCTCTCAAAAATTCTAAGAAATAATTTCTTCTTTCATAAGTAATATTTAAATCCAGATGCTGTCATCAAAGCATGGCTATTCTCTGTCTGCTTAAACCTGGAATCAATCAGGTCTATCTGTCTATCCATCTATCTATCTATCTATCTATCTATCTATCTATCTATCTATCTATCTATCTATCTATCTATCCATCTATCTATCAATCTAGAGCATACAGTTGAATGTATTTACATGTTTCTAATCTTCAGACATTCTGGAAATATAATAAAAGAAACTACAGCCCCAATTCACCATGAAGCTTAAGTATGTTTTAAAAAAATATAGTATTCTAATATTAATTTTCTAAACAGCATACCAATTTACCAATGTATTTCTGATAATTTACCAATGTATTTCTGATTTGTGCTTATATTAATTTGCTGAAATATAGGCTTCATTGAAAGGAAATGCATCCTTCCTTTGCAATGGAGTAACTGTTATCAGAGCATACAGTGGCATGTGCCTGTTGTGAATGAAGCTGGTTGGGCAAAAAGGCAATTAGTGCATAAATATTAAACATACAGCCTATATTACAACTTCCACTGACACTTGCATGTACAGTTTAAACAAGAATCTATTGAAAACACCTAAAACCTCTAAACATTTTGGAGAATAGTTCTTACTTTATGCTCCTGAAAAACTGATTCAATGTGCATATGTTCCTAAGGGCACTGTTTTAACATGGAAAACTAGTTAAAGTAAGATCTATGGAAGGCATAGCAGTGAGACAATGTCTGAGTGAATGAGAAAACGAATGTTCATCGGGAAGGGAGGGAGGGAGGGAAGGAGAGAAGGAAGGAAGGAAGGAAGATCTGGTAGCAGATTCACCAGATCTGGAAGACATCACCAGAGAACTCTTTACGGTTTAGGACTTCATTTATTTCTAAGAAGGGCTGCTCAGGAGCTTTGTTCAGCAGGAGAGACTGGTCCATTGCAAGCCCTGCCAGGACAGTAGGGTTATGCACAGCTCCTTCATGACACAGAACTACTCCCCAAGGGACTGACAGTCAGAAAGTCAGGCTTTTGTGTCAGAATGCTTCCATAATGTGTCAAATCCAGTACAATGAGCTCATTCTAATGCTTCAGTTAGTCTGAACTAGAAGAAAATGCAGAAACATCAAGCACTAAACTGCAATTGCCAAAAGTACTGCCAAACAAAAGAAAATCAATTTTGGAATCCTTGGGAATGAATGTATGCAAAAAATTATTAGACATGTACAGTATACTGATATTCTAATGGCAAAATGAGAGATATGCAAGCAAGAGCTTGAGTGTATTTTGAAATGGCAGCTTGTATAATATAGCTAAAGAAGACTTGGAAAAACATATTAGGAACCCGAAGAGCTAAAAAATACTTTTGAGTAAAGGTAAGAGGATTGGAACCCAGAAGCTTATTTCCTGGACATTTAGGTTTCAATTGATAATGGTCTACAGTGAAAAAACAGAAAGACACAAAGACAAAAAGTATTGCTAAAGTAGACATAGATTATAAGATATTGTTAAGGGCAAAAAAGGGAAACAGGAGTCGTAACTCAGAACAAAAGCAGTGGTATCCATAAAAATGTTTTCTTTAAAGAAAGTTGGAGAAAAAGAAAGCCAAGAATAAAATCTCCTTCAGACAAAAAT